TTTAGCATTAATCCCAAAGTTCTCATTCACAATTAGCATTTTATTATTTTATCTTTTAGGCAGACTGCAACTTGAAACTCAAGCACCTTCCCAAACACTGAAGTTAACTGTTTCTGGTTTCCATTCTATGCCTTTCTTTTTGTTTTTAGCTAAACTTCTGGATCTTATGGTTAAAAAAAAAAAAGCAAACAAAAAGACAGCCTTTTGTTTAAAAGCGCACAACAGACACTTTACATCTAGTTTGTTTTCACTTGTCTTAAACTCACTCTTCAATAAATGTCCCAAACTTAACAGCACTGATTCCCTTTCAAGCATTACACATAAAAGACCTTAGAAAAAGCCAGCAGTCCGCCAAATTACAAATCTAAGTCTATTGAAGACTACCAATCAGTTTACTTTTAGACGGTATTTACATAGGAACGCGACTTCGGTTACTAAACTAAAACATGCGCCACCATTAACTCCGTTTTTTTCCTAAGCAATAAATAGCAAAGTTAAGAGCAAGTATTTCAACAAATATGACAAACCCACCTCGGAGCACAAAGTAGACTGATAAAATTAACACCACAGCACAATTTCAAAACTATAAGCAACTAAAAAAAACTACATAAAACAAAACAAACAAACCCCGCACCCACTCTTATGTAAACTTTTGGAGTAAGCAAACTTCTTTAGCCTCACCTTTGTTTTCACCCAGCAAGGACTCTTCAAGACATGTATTGCAAGAAGACCAAAAGATCAAAAGATTCAGTTATTGTCCCCGTAGGAGAAACAACTAAAAATTTAAAGCATCTTAACGTATTTAAGTTACCGAAGCTCAGGGCACTTCCCCAAGCTACAGCCATTTTAGATTCAGTCTTTCTTTTGAATTTCACGGGGGTGGGGTGGGGTAGGGGGTGGGAGGTAGATTTAAAACTGAAAAAAAATCCTCGTTGTAACACTTTAAAATCGACCAGCTTTTTTTCGGGAGGGGCGGTTGGTAGGTGCTGGATAGACTTAATCTAAACCAACGAAACACTTCGCTACCAAAGGAGTACCGGAACATTGGGGGTTAAAGTCCGTTTCCCCTCATATACCCCACAGTTGACTTACACGATTATTTCCTCCTTAGATTTTCCTTCATTGGAAAAAATCCGTTGGCTCTAACTTAAGGAAAGAAAAAGAAACCCGTAAACCAAGTCACTCAAACACCAACAAGCCGAAACGCCTGGAAAGAAGCCAGAGAGCTGCAGGTGAGCGTTTCGACCCGCAGACCAAAGTTGAAGTAGGAATACTCTGGCAGAGACGCGGCGACGCTCGCGTTCAAAGCACCACGCGTGGGGTTAGGTACCGGGTGCGAACCACAGGACTTGTGGGCTCCGCTCTCCCTCCCCGGGCCGACCTACATCCAACCACCTGTGTGAGAGCCTCCTTCAACTTGTTTTAATAGCCGGCCGGTCAGGCACCGGGCGGAGTCCCGCGCCGGGAAGACTCTAGATTCCCCTATTACCCGGTTGTCTCGATCTCCCACTCACCGAGCAGCGACAGGGCTACAGCTAGGGACCAGACGCGGCGTCTGAGGGCGCGCCCCCAGCTTCCTGATCCCACAGAGGTGAAGAGCCCACAACCATAACAAAGCTCTTCCCAAAATGGCTGCCCGGCCCACACCGCCCAGGAGGGGCAGAGCGGGTGGAGGGGGAGGAGCGAAGAGCAGCCAAGCCTCCCCCAGGCCAACCCCGCCTCACACACGCCCACCCGCTTGTACCGCCCACAGAGGCGCACGCGCATGCGCCCTGTTCGGATGACCCCCGCCGGCGCCCCACGCCGCCAACGTTCGGGCGGTGAAAGGCGGTTATTCACTGCCCTACTCCCTATTCCTTTGACCTCTGCTCCTAGTGGCGGCCAGCGGGGTTTTGTACTCCCCTTTTCTTCGCCCCCCCCCCACAACACCAGGGTCTGGACACGTGTTAATGAGTGTTTGGTGTGTATGTGTGTACCCGCTTTTCCTAGCCCTTCGTTCTCCACCCTCCCATACCCTACCTCTGGGCAATCACCCTTTTCCACACTACCTCTACAAGTACTAGCAAACCGGTTTCGTAGGAGCATGTGTTTTCCGACTCCTTCCCACCTTGCCTCGTTTGCCCGTGTCGTTAAGATTCCAGTCCCCAGCGGGCCACACGGCCGGACTCTGCAGAACTGCGCGGCTGAACCCGACGCGCTACTCGCTGGGAGTGGTAGTTTCGCCCAA